TCTCTCTCTCTCTCTCTCTCTCTCTCTCTCTCTCTCTCTCTCTCTCTTGCTCTCTGAAATTTCCGACGCACGGCGAATACATAGAATACAACGACGAATTCTCGTTTCATTTGCCATGGAAGTCAACTACCGCCCGTGCGGGATCTATTACGATGCTTATTTATACCACGACCTAATTAATGTACATCACGACCGTTATGATCTCAAACGCATATATAATATTCAGCATATTTTTACTCACACACGCATGCAGCTTGTTCTCACGTGTACCAGTAAAACTGAAAGTGTGAGACTGAAAGAATGTCGTGCCAAAAAATAAAGATTCGAAAGTAAGGAAAGGTGAGATATTATAAAAATCCTAGAACTCTAAACATTAAAAAGTTACGTGAACTTTAAACATGGTTAAATTTTTCCGTCCACCTTTTTTTGCTCATGATTCCCGAAAAAAAATTATCGAAAATTGATTTCTTTTTTATTTGTGTATAGAAACCGTCGAGAGGAATATGATTCCACAAGTACTTCTGCGATTCAATAAAGTTGAAAATATTATAATAAAAAACAAAACACATGTTTTTAAAAACGGTGACGTTTAGAAAGTTAGTCGAATTTCACATGTTCATTGTTTTAAGATTAACATTTAAGAAAAATTATACGAAGAAATTTTAATTGGTGTCTTTGAAAAAATACTCTAAAGCTGTGTAACTAATAGTTCTTACCTGAAACGTACTTCAAATGAGATAAATGAGATTTTAATCCAGAATTTGGTGAGAGTTTTTCAGCGAAATCGCGATTGCAGATACAAATGTCACGTGTATCATAATTCAACTGAAGAACTTGGATTTAACTCTTAATAAAAGTCTGAGTATCTCACATATGAGACAAATCTCAGATGACAGCTATTAATACGGGCCTGTTCCACGATGTCGGATATTTGAGAAAATTAATGTTCAGGAACCCTAAATGTGATGAGATTTAGAATCTGAAATGAGTACAGAAACGACCGCGAGATTCGCGTACTTGAACCTTTCTGCGAATCCCAAGTTGCACGGGTTTCAAGCGAGATTCAGGTTAACATTCTGAAGATCGTAAACGCACGTTTAAACGGCTCGATGTTATCTTTCGATGGGTGTTTAAGATCGTTGGGGATGGTAACGGTTACGAGTGCTGCTGCCTATCAAAGTGCATTTTACGGAGAAATCTCCGCGAGACGGTGAATATACATGGTAAGTACTTGAACGACTGCGTCTCCCTCGAATGCCAACGCGCGGCGTTGCAGCATCGCGAGAGTCTTTTGGTCTGTTCGTGTATTATTAGCAACTAGCATTATGCGCGGCAGGTCACTATCCGGTAAATGTGTGTGTGTGCAGCGATAAGTACATATTATATATACAATCTGCATACCTATATACATGTGTATTACGTTACTGTGTGTGTGTGTGTGTGTGTGTGTGTTGATATAACTGTTAAAAAGAGTAAAAATAATTAAGATACGGTCAAGTTTAAATTAGTGCGGTATTTCTCGGAGGGAATGGTTCCGCTCAATCGCCTGCCTCGTGAAATTCCTGAGGAACTGGCGAGTCGATTCCGTCGCTTGAACCGCCACATGAAATCGCACGATTTGATCCAACGTAGAAAGGTTGTGTACGCGCGAGAGGCAGAACACATCCGCGAGTGTGGACACACGAGCCAACAATCGCTCGGGCGTGTTGTCGACGTTGCGATTCGTGTAATAATAATCATAACAACGACGTGTGTTAACTCCTACGATATATGGGTTGACCTATGTTTCATTGGACGGTCGATTAATCGATATGTGGCATCACTATGCGTCAAAAACTCCGAATCGAATTCGCTGTGATCGAAGGATCGACGGACGAGTGAATTTGACAGCACTCGACATATGAATTGACACAAGAATAATTTACGACAGCGACACTGTACATATCATACTAACGCCGCCATTTCAGAGTTATCATCTGGCTACGGTTGATAAAAGGGCAGTCGTGTGACAGCCGTGCGATTTTTGCCAATCGATTCTTCGATCGCGACGAAGATTTCGCACGTTGATGTGCGGCGACTTCTGGAAAATCAAAGTATCTCGTTAAACGGAACGCTGCGCGACGTATATTTTGGCAAAGAAATGTACTCTCCAAATTTTTTGGAGTATTCACTTGGAGAATTTCACTTGAAAAGTAGAGTGACAGCCGAGTTACTGGAATTTCAGTTATTTTTCACTCCTGCACAGTAAATTCCCAATTCTGTATCGTTGAGGAATATTTTCTCTCTTGAAATTGAAGAGTGAATCTGCACTGAGAGAAATAATTATTAGTTTAACTAAAATTATAGTTATTTTTTACTTCAAACATATATTCTGGATGCTCTAACATGAAAATGGTAATAATAACCTGCATATAAGATTATTTTCACTAAGCAGATTATTTTCACTAAGCAGATTATTTTCACATAGCAGAATTTAAGAAAGAAGTAGTTTTCTTATAACCATAGTAATTATTTCTCTATGTAATTACAGTCACAAATACCAAACATTTTTTTTCTCAGTGTGATGTATTCTGCCAAAATTCGGCTAAATTAACCGAATTTCTGCTGAAATATGAATGAACCAGAAATTCTAGTTAAAATTATTAGAATTCTGATCATGTTAACAAGATTTCTAGCGAACTTGAATAAAAATATTGCCACTATTCACTTGTTTTGAGTAAAATTTCACTCCAAGAAATTTAGAGAGTAGAAACGAGCGTGTCAAAACGGTCATGTATCTAAACTTCCATACATTCGCGCGAGATATCGTTCCTTTTTTTCAGTTTTCTTTTTTTCAGTTTTCTTACGTGATTAAATCTAAATTAGTAAACAACGAGGAGTGAAGTTGTTTCGCTCAATGATTTACTGTGTGGAAGATCGACGAGTTGTTTCTGTCGCCCCATCGATTGCAAAAAAAAACGATCGTTTTCTTCAATAACAACAGCTCTGTGCCCTATAATTTATCGAGATATAAAGGAGATTCCTCGTGCGAAGGGCTATTATCTACGTGCTCAATCTTTCAGTTTGAAAAAAACGCTCGACGTTCCTTCGTGCAATTGTTCGCCGTTTTATTGCGCGAGGACCCTAGTGCGGGGCATTATAATCGAACATCCTTTTTAGAGGCATCTCTGCACGGAAGACGAGCGAATCGCTTTCATCATGCGACAACGCGTCGCATCCGTTCGGTCAGTCGGCCAGTGGTTCTTTTTACGGAGAGAAGAACCGACCTAACCGGACGTCATTTTGCACTCATCTGCTCAGTCTCTGTCTTACACACATACATTCATACAGACACAAGCTCGTGAATTTCGGGGCGCGAAACGTGACAGTGGTAGCGAACGGCTAATCACGCGTCATTTCCAGTCCGAGCGCACACGTCACGTCAAATTTCTCTGCCTCGCCAAGTCCACCGAAACGAACGGACGACCGATGAGAACGTCACACGCAGCTTCCTCGAGGATCACCTCGAGGACACGCGAATATCCCTGGCCATTGCCCGCGCGTCCAAGTCCCTCCGGCCTGTCCCGCGAATTGATCACTGCACTTCACAGACGAAGAAAGTCTCGAAGCTGCAGGGGCTGTCGTTCCACTTGAGCCCTTTGCCATCCCTGTTCCATAACTCCAGGCAATGCTCCTCCTCGCCATTCTCGTATCTGAAACGCGAATAGACCGCCGTCAGACGAAATTCACAAACGTCTCGCACACGAGCGGCGAAAATCTTTGCGAGAATAAATCATCCTGCGACGCGTTCCGCGTCAATTTTCACGAAAAAATGAAGTTGAAGCAATCTTCCTACGAGTTTGTATTTCCTTCATATTTCATTGCACTGATTCTACTTTCGTTGCTAACGGACACGTCGCTTGCAGAAATATTTCACTACACTGAGGGAAAAATTACTTTAAAATCAACATATATTTCTTTGATGTGGGTGCCATTAACATATTTATATATATATATATATATATATATATATATATATATTCTTTTTATTTAAACCAAATATTGTTTACTTAAACCAAGTAAACAATATTTTATTTAAATAAAAAGAATTTAGATTTAAGTAAATATATTAATGGCATCTATCAAAGAAATATTTGTTGATTTTAAGGCTCCTGGGGAGTCGCATTATATCTCTTTTTAATGACGTCAGAAGCGAGAAAACGCATGCTAAAAATTCTTGCAAAATACGTCGAGATAAACAGATATATTCACAAAACGACATTTGCGATCGATTAAATACACCTCTAAAATACTCCATACACTTTCCTTTTATTCTAAAAATCAATAGATAATCGGAAAATTAATATGACAAGATAATGAGGAAATTAGGTTAGAAAAGACGATTGTACGTTACATTTATTTTATAATTATCTGTTGATTGTTTTGTAGAACAAAAGAAAAGTGTACGAAATATTTTAGAGGTGTACTTAATCGATCGCAAATGTCGTTTTGTGGATATATCTGTTTATCTCGACGTACTTTGCAGGAATTTTTAGCATGCGTTTTCTCGCTTCTGACGTCATTAAAAAGAGATAGATGATGCGACTCCCCAGGAGCCTTAAGATAATTTTTCTCTCAGTGTACACTGGGAGAAAAAACTTCGCCAAAAATTATTGCTACTTTTGGCGCCAACTGTCTTTCTTTTGTTGACCGGAGTTAGATGCCCCATATTTAGATCTGGTTTCCCCTATACAGACAATTGGAAAGTTGAAATATATGACACCGACATGCAAAAAAATGAGATATTTTTTATCTGCCAAGGGAAGGTTTTCGTGTATCCCTTCAATAATGAGCAACGTCGTCGACAGAGATAAATCAATACGAACGCGCGCGGAAGGAGGCCATATACGTATGATTTACGTCAATCATATTGCGACAGCGAATCGCAGCCGTGTATCCAATATCCGAAGGAATGTAAATTGTCAGACAGCCTTACCGGAAATTATTCGGCTCGCCGACGTTCCAATTCTCGAACGTGATCGGCCTGCCGTTAGCCATCCAGAAGAAAGTACCCTCCTCGGCCTGGTCGGTGCCGGAGGTCCAAAAGTGCTCGTGACCGAGCCCGAAGTCCTTGATATGCTTCTCGAGCCTGTCGTTCTCCTCCTGCGAGGCTATGCTCGCCAGATGCATCCCGTGATAACGGCAATATTGCGAGGCTCTGTACCAGTTGGCCTGCGAGGGCAGAGGAGGCAGAGTAATTTTATTAAATTTCCGTCGGACCTCGATTTGGCCGCAACGACGTCGGTTGAGCGCGGTATTTCCGGGAAAAAGTATAGAAACATAAAAGGTGCACATTGAAGAAAAGCTTTGGTGATCAAAACTGGATTACAAATGTTTTGGCGAAATAGTTTCAACTATAAATGCGTATCGGTAAATATAATCAAATAATTTAATGAGTATTAGCATATATATAACACACGCTGACAAGATTTGGCATATTAGCTGTATTGGCTCTGTTGCCAAAGCCTACTACATTGAAAGAAAAATACCTAAAAGCTTTTTTGATATAAAATTTATTTACCTGTGTAAAAATAAACATTTTTCAGTGAAATAAAGTTTATTTCTTTAAAATAAACTTTTTCCCACAAATAAATTTCCAAGTATTTTTTTCTCAGTGTAAGACTTGGTAACTATTAGCAATATACGTATCATCGAACAATTTGCAAAATAAAACCACATTGTTCACTAATACTTGACACATAATGTGATAAATATACGAAATAACTAAATGATTTAGTAATAATCAAATTACTTAATAATTATTAGCAAGTCATTTGATATTATTTATCAAATCACATTTAATTAGTTAAATTAAAAGAAGAATTTGCTTTACTAATTGTGTTTTGTAATTATTATCAGAGAGACGGTTGGTAATTATTACCATATTACTAATTACCAAATTGCGCTGAAACGCTCAGCCAAATGCATTTGTTAACCATTGCAAGACCTGTTCTCAGTGTGCACGAGATACTCGAGGGATGGTCAGAGAGAAAATCCTCCGCGTTCTCGCGGCGAGTCATTGGCGTCGATAATCGTCGCGAATATTGTTACACGTCGAGTATTAATGATTTCCAATGTACTTCGTACGGATAATTAATAACTCACGCATTAATAATATGCAATATCGTATGAATAGTGGATTAAATCATGCTGCGTGAACAGCGATTACGGAAAAGTCGTTACGTTAAAATCCAGAGGGTGCATTGAATTCTGCAATAACAATGGCCGCCAGGCGGAACGTTTGAACTGTTGGTAAACATAAGTAAATTACAGGAGGTAGGTAAGCCGGCCGTATTATTATTGTTATTATTATTATTATGTTCATCATTACATGTAGCGCGAGTGTGCTGGCCGATTGATTATAACGAATTGATCCGCGTTAATAACTAATGGCAGGCGTATTGTGGGTGACCATTAATATTCACGCGCTAAGGTTACATAATCGCCACTCCGCCATCGATATTCTGCGAGGTCGTATTCGAGAATATATAACTATACGATAATGCTGTGCAGGACGATGAAACCTGTTATTCCACGACGTGTCAATAATTCCGATTACCGTGCGAAAGCGCGAGCGAAGCGTCCGGCTCAAAGTCGATCGGGATTTTCTCGCGGATATAATCGACATCGCTTGCGAAAGCGTGCGCGCAGAATGCGTGCTCGATCGTCCGACTGCGAAGCTGCTGGATCTCACAACGAAGCGGGTCGCGTGAATGTCGGGCGGAAAGTCTCGCCAGGTCGCCAGGTAGGAATTTTTCGCGCGCGAACCTCTCCCTAGGCGTGCCTTAAATCACAATACGAACGATTAAACAATTCGATTTTATGACCGAACGCGCATGTTGTACAAAGCATGTTCTATCGTGATATACAATATATATCGAGAAAAGACCCCCTTAATTCATTTTTACATATAGACAAATAGACAAATAAGGAAATAAAGAAATAAAAGCCCTGACTCTCTCGCAGCGAATGTAAATCAGAAATCGATACACTGAAAAAAAATATTTAAAAAATGAAAAATATTTTTCCGTTGGACACTAATAGCATAATATTTCAATCTAAATTCTTTTGTTTGAGATAGAATAAACAATTGAAAAACCATAAAAAACAAGTATTTTAGGAAAATATATATTTTCTCATTTGAGAAAAATTTGTCCTCGATGGAAAAAATATGTATTAATAGGTGGACATGCATTGTGCCTAAAAAAATATTCCCACAAAAAGTTACAATCTCGAAATTAGTGTACTGAGGCAATTTCCCGAAACACAATTTTCCCGAAATATTGGGGGGAACTAAACAATATACCAAAAAACTACCACCTCAAAATTCGAACACCCAGATAATTATTTTTTTAAAAACAACCTTCCCGCAATATTGAAAGCAAACAAGCTTTTGAAGAGATTCGAAAATCGAAACAAAATTTCACAAAAAATAACTCTCCCTAAAGTCACATAGTATACAAAATTCAAAAACCAATATTTAAAAAATTTAATCTATAGAATATATAATAAATTTAAATTTGTTACATCTATGTTTATTCTCGAAATATTCATGAGTTATATAAGTATATTATAAATGTATAACGTATATATTTAAGTTTGTTAAAAGGAAATACTAGTTTAGGCCTAAACGTTTTTAAACATCGTACATATCGCGATATTTAAGGAAATTCTTCAAATCTCGATATTCGGATTTCAGGACTACAGTTCTTCGGCACAATGCATGTTTTCTGTACTGTAATCAGAAAAATAGAGCTTCTCGGAAAATTATCTTGGTATACTAATTTCTGATTTATAGATTTTCAGACCATTCCAATGTTTATACTTCCAATATTTTGGGAAAATTGTTTTTCGGGGAATCGAATGTGTCGGAATTATGACTTTTCGGAACATTACTCCATGTTTCAAATTTCGAGATTTTGGTTGGAACAATGCATGTCCGCCTATTAGTACAAATATGTTACTAGTACCTATCGAATAAATATTCCTAATGTTTTAGATATTTTTCTCTTAATGCACCTTGTGAGAAACAGAAAAAGAATTCTGAATAAACTTTTGCGAAATCTCCTTGCGAATCCTAGTGATTTTATCGCTTTTTGATGTACTTACTACGGCTGTGTATTAAAATATGTACGCGCTGTAACTCCTCGGCCCAATGAATGTATCGGCTCGGTACCTACCAAAGCCACTTCGAGCCGTTTGTAACGGCACGAATATATTCGCCAATAACTCCTGCTGTGTGCCTGCACGTCGCGATATTTTATGTTCGCCAAGCGAGAGGAGCCCCGCCAACGAACTCGGCGCATTTATATTTCGGTATTTCGCATATTACACGGCGTTATGTATATCGACATATCGACCGTGCAACTTCGGTCATTCGCGCTACATTACGCGCTTTTTACGACCACGGCGCGTTGCGGAAGCGAGCCGCCGCGGCTCGGCGGGGCGATGGTCCTTTACGATCGTTCCAGCTTCCCAACAACGCGATACATCGCGTTCAGCCCGTGCGAGCGAACGTTTAAGCGCATTTCGCCGCGAAATTGCTTCACAACCGTCGTACAGTCGGCGGGGGGGAAAAAAAAGGGTAGAGCAGCGCGTTTCTCCTCGATGAGCACGGACGAAATCGCGAGAACGATCGCGGACGAATCTCATTTGTTCCGTCGGAATTATTGTGTCAGTCAAAAAGCCCATCTCGATTGTTCCGCGACGATAAATTGGCCTCACCTTCAATAATTTTTTCGGAGGAGGGTGTCTAAAAAAAGTCGACCTCCAGACACGAATAAAAAAGATAATATTTTTTATAAATTTTGACTTTTTGAATATGATATTAAAAAGTTGTTTCACTTTGAAAACTGGGCAAGAACATGATGTATAGAAATTCGGTTGATACATGGAGCTACACGCATTCCTGTGAGGTGTTTTAAGTGTGTGTAAGGGAAAGTGTAAAAAAAATGTGTATGTGGAGGGGGATTTGGGTAGATTACATAAAGCCGGATTAAAGGGACTACCACAAAAATGCATCCAGTGAAACGGAAGGCGTGTTTGTATTTGGAGAGCGGGGATAAAGAGGCTTGTGTATCTGTGTGTTTGTGGAGGAGAGTGTTGCATATGTGGATCTGGGTGGGCGGAGCAGGTTTAATTGGGTCGGATTAGTAGAGCTCCCTTAAACCTTTACTTTAGATCTTTTAACACTGCTGCACAATAAAAAGGCTGAACTCATTTAATTTTTCATTGTCTGAGCTACTAATCGTTTCACGATGCTTAGCAACAAATACAAACACGCATCCTGTTGCACAGGATATATTTTTGTAATAATCCCTTTAATCCGATTAATCTACCCAAGTTCCTTCCACATACGTATCTGTATACGTCTTCCTTTACATACACACAAAACATAAATAACACAGAGAAAAATTATCTTGCTCTTTTAGCAAAATCGTCGTTGCTACTGCATATTCGTAGTGACATCAAAAAAATTTAATTGACGTAACTAATTTTACAAATTATTCGTTATCAGAACAGAAGTAGTTTCGTTGCCAAGATAGAAAAAATTTGTTGAATGTATTTGTCCTAAGAATCACATTAATTTGCTATTGATGCAAAATAATGTATCCTTAGCAAATTTATTTGCTATCGGAGCAAAACTGCAACCGCTTATATAAATCCATCATGGTTCTTATAGCAAAATAATTTGTAGATTCAGCAAGTAGTGATTAGTACTTTTAACAAATCTTTTTGCTGTCTATATAATAACAAAAAAATTTTGCTAGATCAGCAGAAAATTTGCTAGGCCAGCAAATTATTTTTCCCCGTGAAAAAATAAAATAGAATTTAATTCGAAAATCGAGCCAAAACTCTTTGACCGGTTCGATGAAAGCGATTTTTTCGTGGCCAACTTGTATATACGTCACGCGCAAATCCATGTCGTTAAATTGACAGGCGACATTCTCGACTATGTGATGCTCTTCTCTCGATGACGAAGAATCGCAAGATTAAACTAGACAAGGCAGAGCCACGGAATGCGGTCGGCGAGCGCGAATATTCGCGATCTCCAAAGTTTCTTACCCGCATAATTAGGACGCGCTCGGTACACATCTTTGCCGAGCGGTTGGAATGTTAGCCCGAGATCTTGTAGGAACGACAATGCGGCGGTTGTTATGAAACACGCTTAC